TCTTGTTCCTGATTTTAGTGTGAAGGATTTCAGTTTTTGACCATTTAGTATGATATTGGCTGTTGGTTTTTCATAGATGGCTTTTATCAGATTGAAGTAGAGACTGCCAATTCCAATTTTTTGTAGGGTTTTTATCATGAATGCATGTTGGGTTTTGTCGAATACTTTTTCTGCATCTATTGAAATGATCATATGGTTTTTGTCCTTCCAGCCAAAAATCCTGTCTCCCACTCTGATGAAGACTGAAAGGGCCTGGGGGAACCTGCAATGCCCCTGTCCATGCCAATCACCTTCTTCCATGAAGAACCCCAGGTAACCCTGGACACTATGGGTGACCTAATTCAATTTCTTGTAGATTCAGAGGTATCTTCTTCTGTTTTAACTTCCTTCTCTGGAAAGCCTTCCTCCAGATCTATAGCCATAATTAGGGTCAGATGCTTCCACAGACACCTATGACCCAATTGCTGGACAAAGCCTTTTCTCTATTCAACAATCAGGATCCAGGGGAGGCTCAAAAGGGAAAGGGTAAGATTATGCTGTCACAATTGGCAGTGTTTTAAGCTCACCCATATCATCTAAGGGGAAAAACCCAAAGATAACTGAGGAAGGAGTTCCTGAGTCAAGATGTCTGCAAATTGAGCCTGCAACTGCCCCAAGCAAATGCCTAGGCCCTGCTCTGAATGTGAGGTGGCCAATATACCTGACTCGTGGCACTGGAGGGTTGAATGTTCCCGCTCCCAGAGATGGGCTAGGCTGGCCAAAACCTTCATTTCCTTCTCTGACCATTGAGGGGCCCCAAGGATACTTACAATGCCCATGTCCATAGATATAGCTATTTCCTGTGAGGAACCCTGAGTAATCTAAGATGTCATGGTTGAATCATTTTAATTACTTACCAATACAGGGGCAAATTATTTAGATTTGAATTCCTTCTCTTGAAAACCCTGCTCTAGACCTATAGCCATAGTTGGGGTAGATGGGACCCCTAATCAGAGATTCTTACTCCTACACTGATGTGTCACTTTGAAGGCTACATGTTTAACCATGAGTTTCTAATTGTAAAACAGTGTCCTACTCTCTTGCTAGAAAGAGATTTACTAACAAAATTGGGGACAATTCTCAAATTCCAGCAAAAGGCCAAAACAGATTTTACCTGTTGGGACTACACCAGGTCTCCCTGAACTAAGCAGCCACAGGTGGATCCTGCTGTATGGTATAATAGAATACCTGGTAGGGAAAATTCAGCTATGCCAATAGTTATAAAACTAAAAGAGTACAGCTGATTTCCTAACCAAAAACAGTATATAATCAAAGATGAAGCTCATAAAGGCCTCCAGCTTCTCATAGACAGGCTTTTCAAATATGCCTTTTGCGGACTTGTCAGTCTCCTCGCAATACTCCCATTCAGCCTGTAGTAAAGCCCTCAGGAGGATATAGGCTACTACAAGACCTCTGCCTTGTTAATAAAGCTGTCATCCCAATCCACCCTCTGGTGGTAGATCCATATAACATTCTCTCCCAAATTCCAAGAAACACTAAATCATTCTTAGTCTTAGATCTCACAGATGTGTTCTTTTCTATTCCCCTCCATCCAGATTCCCAATTGTTGTTTGTCTTTGAATGTAAAAATACCATTTCAAAAGAAAAGCAACAGTGTACTTGGAGAGTTGTCCCACAGGGGTTTAGAAATAATCCTCATCTTATTGCTTGGGCATTAGAGAAAGACTTAAGGAAGCTAAAGCTTAAACAGGGAACCATTCTACAGTATGTAGATGATATTCTAATTTGCAGCCCAACTCAGGAGTTATCTAACCATAATATTACATACAAACCCTCAATTTTCTAGCTAATAAATGATACAATGTAGGGCTGGGGATTTAGCTCAGTGGTAGTGCACCTGCCTTGCAAGTGCAAGATCCTGAGTTTAATCCCTGGTACTGCAAAAAAA